TCACCAAAGCCCCATATACTACCCACCATTGGCTGGCCCTCACTACATATTCGTCGCCAAACCCACTGGCTCCAGGTCATCTATAAATCACTGCTAGGCAAATCCCTGCCTTATCTTAGCTCATTGGTCACCATAGCAACACTCACCCGTAGTATGCGCTCCAGCAGGTATATCTCACTGGTCATCCCCAAAGCCAACACCTCCTTTGTCCGCCATTCCTTCCAGTTCTCTGCTGCCAATGACTGGAACGAACTGCAAAAATCTCTGAAGCTGGAGACTCTTATCTCCCTCACTAACTTTAAGCATCAGTTGTCAGAGCAGCTTACCGCTCACTGCACCTGTACACAGCCCATCTGTAATTAACCCACCCAACTACCTCATCCCCATATTGTTATTCATTTTGCTCATTTGCACCCCAGTATCTCTATTTGCACATCATCTTTTGCACATCTATCACTCCAGTGTTAATACTAAATTGTAATTATTTTTACACTATGGCCTATTTATTGCCTTACCTCCATAACTTACTACGTGTGCACACACTGTATATAGATTTTCTATTGTGTTTTTGACTGTATGTTTTTTTTGTTTATCCCATATGTAACTCTGTGTTGTTGTTGTTTTTATCGCACTGCTTTGCTTTATCTTGGCCAGGTCGCAGTTGTAAATGAGAACTTGTTCTCTACTGGCTTACCTGGTTAAATAAAAGTGAAATAAATAAAAAATACCATACCCCGCTCAAAGGGACTTCAATTTTTTGACTTGCCCATTCACCTCTCAGAATTGCACACATACCACACCATGTCTCAAGTCTTAAAAATCTCCTCCCCTTCATCTACACTGATTGAAGTAGATTTAACAAGTGATATCAATAAGGAATCATAGCTTTCACCTGGTCAGTCTATGTCATGGAAAGAGCAGGTGTTCTTAATATTTTGTACACTCAGTGTACGTCTGTCCCTCATTTTAAGGTCAGCCCTGTTACGTGGACTGAACCCTCATTTTAATATGGTGAAACTATTCCTTTTAAAATATTTATTTAAAAAGAAACATTGAACATCTGTTGTACACAACAAGCTTCCATTCCTCCTGTCACAAGGGGATTTATGGCTGACGCACCGGTGCGTCAATCTAGGTAACATATCAAAATCCACTAGAGATATCTGCATGGGCTGTGTCTCAATCCACCACATCCGCCTATGCCCGCCTTCCGCATCTGCAGTGGAAGGTGGCCGAGCTAGAGTGGTTTTTGTCAGACCATGAGACATCCCGAAAATCAGTCTTCTCATGAAAACAGGACTCTTCTGAAGTCGTTACCGTCAATGTGCCAACTTCTGTTTGTAGCATCCGAACCGTTTGGGCTACAAACTAACTAATGTTCTCACCAACATGATGGTGTTCTGCATTTTGCTCTATGACCACCACAAGTGTCACGGGACTCATCTGAAGGTAACCGATACTAGTGTAAAAATTGAATGGAAGTATGGAGGTAGTTTTGTGCCTACCCCAAAAAAGGGGTTAAATATGTACAAAAAAATATATATATATTTCCTGTGCTTTCTTTTATCTCCTAGATATAGGACAGACACTTCAAAACCTTATTCCTCATTTTTTTATTTAACCTCTTGAGATGGGAAAACTAGTTTTTTATGAAGTTGAACATGTGTTCTTTATGACAGAATGTTAAAATTAGGTGAATATATATATATATATATATATATATATATATTAGTAGAAGGACCTTTCTGTCTCATAGTGATTAGGTATCGTAGAATATAAAGGATCTGTTAAGAGAGACAGAGGACGTGACTGACCATCCCATCCCTCCACTGAGAAACAAATTAGGTAAAGTAGGGACCTTGCTGTGAATGAGTGGGCTTGAGTGGAGTTGATAGTCTGTATGAGGAGGAGGAGGGTCTCATGGGATCAGAGGGACGAGGTAGTGCACATCAGACAGGATCAGTTGTTTTTAAGGAAGAAAGAAAGATAAACAGAATGGCTACTGGCCAGTAACATACAGTTGGTTTTGGTACAGCTACTTCATGAGCACCTGGCAAATCAAAGCAACTGGGATAGGAACATTTCAAAGGAGCCTTTTGAGTGAAAGCATGGAGATACTATAGACATTGTAGGTCAGTAGTGCAGCATTCAAAGGAAATTGCTCTCAAAGTGGTACTGCTTTTCAAAAATAGCATTTATCCCAACAGAAAAGGAACTGCAGACCGCAAAGTGAATGCATGTGAATCACAAATTTCATTTACCAATCTCATAGATTTAAAAAAAGCATCCTCTTTACACATTGACAGCAGTGAGTTGTTTTCAGTTTCTCTCTTTCAGTACAACAAAGTTTCCATTTCGAGGTTCACTAACTTGCTGAACTGGAGCAGGAGAAAGGAAGACACCAGCGTTTGCCCAGAAAGAGGGCCTGTCATTTGCTGCTGAGTCACTCACAGCCGTCTCCTGTCTCTCCTGTCTCAATGGGCCTTTTGTTGCTGCCTGCTGTTGGACCTGATGGAAATGGCTGGCCTGAGCTCGCAGTTGAAGTGCTGCAGGGTGTGTGTAGCACAGGAGGTTGGTGGCACCTTAATTGGGAGGACGGGCTCGTGGTAATGTCTGGAGCAGAATGGCATCAAATACATCAAACACATGGTTTCCATGTGTTTGATGCCATTCCATTGACTCCGTTCCAACCATTGTTATGAGCCGTCCTCCCCCCAGCAGTCTCCACTGGTGTAGATAGGGGTGTGGGATGTGTGTATGTCTCACACACTAATTATGAGGTGTTTTTGATAGAGGTGTAGGCTGTGACTATGCGGGAGTGCTGTAGGTGCATGTCTGTACATGTGGGTGAGACTGTGTTCTGGATGTCAAGGTGACTTTGGTTAAAGTCTGGTGATGGTGTCTGGGAGCACATGAGCTGAGAGGGGCCTGCTATAAAACAGAGAGAAGATTAAAATACATGCCATAAGAAAACAAAACAATGTCTACGAGGAGAGAGTTGTGAGAGAATTAATGAATGGTATGAATGAAATAAATAACGACAATCCTTTTTTCTCATGAAGGAAGATCTCAGGAAAGACAGCCTGTCTAGCTGCTGATGGTGATGGATCAGTGTAGAAGTAGAGATGAGGTTATCCCATTGTTTCCTTGGCCTGCATCTCTCAAAGCCAAATGGAGATGTTGGACATTACTGAGAATATCCTGCCCCCTTCTGGTTAAAATGGGAATCTGGGAAATGCATGGTATTGACTTTAACGTTTTATTTTCTGTTCAGATAATAACCACGATTACACCTTGCTGGTGCATTTGTGGTTCCATATGTAAAGCCTCAGTGACTCGGATAAAATTTGATTAGGGAATAATTTGACCATCATGACATGCCCTTGCTTAGACACACCCCAAATTACAATCTGCAGCAATTTTAGAATAGCATACAGTTCAAGAGATCAATATCTCATGAATCTTCAAGCGCAAGGCTGGACCATCAACAGTAAAAGTGAATAAACAACTCGTTTAAAATGTGTGAATATCTTCCTGAATACTTTAAAATGCAAAAGTAATTGTAAATGCAAATTCAAAATGTGTTGAATGTTTACTATATGGGATAATATCGCTATTGGGCTATGTATTCTGATTAGGCGAGTTTGTAATGTGCATTAGGCTACCGGCAGCGTGAGTCCAAATGGTCTCAAATCGTGATGAGACTTTTCCGCGGGTGGACAAAAATACGACTGTAAGGCTTGGGACCTGCTAAGATTGCAATTATCGGCTAGATTGCGGCTGTGTACAGAGCATGAAGATGCTTGTTCTGATCTACATCTACTCTGGTGTTTAGAAGTCCTGATCGAACCGTAGAAAAGCTGCAGTCCCCTGACAGCTCTGGGCGTGTGGTTGTTTTACCCCCTAAAGGGGCGTGGTCGGTGTCCTGGATCAGGGCCAAGGCCAGATCCAGCGGCTCGAGGCAACGCGCGAGAGGAAGACAGCGATGCACCACCAATAACCCTCTCTCGTGCTGAATCATCACCCAAAAGTGGTTTGTGATTCTGGAAAATGTCTGCTGGACTGGCCAATTTCACAGGCGTATGTTTTCAATGTAGTATATGCTAAACTTGATAATAGGTGTTAGGCTATTAAGTGACATGCATTGATTTAATTATATGTGTGGGCATGGGGGAGTCATGCAAACAGGCCTTTGTGTCTGTGTCTCATCCTGTATTCAGACACTGCGGTGGTCGGGCACGAAAGGTGCATGGCTGCAGACTGCAATACAGCAGTACCGTTTAGACACACTCACTCCTGGCACACAGTTCACATGCATCGATCCCATGCCTGGACTGCTGGGACAGCACGGCAAAACTGTAATGACAGTGTTTACTGTGATTGGATAACCTGCATGGGAATAGTTTCACAAAACTTCATCAGAAATAGTCTAGGCTATGTCAATTAGGCCTATTATGTCCAATGTTGGCCTCAGTATTAGCATTTAATAGTGAAGTAGTTTTCCACTTCAATTAGTAAACTCATTATAATTAGAATATTAGTAGGCCTAGCCTATTGGTGTTATTATGATTAACTATTTATATGTCCCCTATAAGTCATCGTTTTATTTTCTCTCATTGACCAAAGGTCTATCTTGTCATGTCTGTACAGCATGGATTAGCCTGAAATACGTACAAGTTGCCTGCCTGAAATACGGCGAGGAGCAGCATGAATGAATTCGTGTTCCCCTGATAATAGCTCTTTTTGCAGGAGCTTGCAGGTTTCCCTTACCCTGCTGCCGCCCCTGCGTCAAATGATGCTCGAGTTTCATCACTATAAAAGCACCTGTCTTGGCCAGACCTCACTCGCATCTCACTTTCTCTCTCTTTCTCTCTCCCACACTCCACACACACTCTCACACTGGGCAGTGAGAAAGCACTCCGCAAGCAGCAAAGGTCAGACTAGCATTCCACTTCTCCACCTGCAAACATGAGTTACTCTGGCAACGTCTACTCCAGCAGTTCCTATCGGAAGATCTTCGGGGATACGCCCCAGAGCTCCGGCCGCATGTCGGTGGGCAGCAGCCCCTCACGCCAGTCCGGCGGATACCGCTCCAGCGGCGCACACCGCAACTATGGCTCCCCATCCATGGTCACATCCTCCGGCTACCGTAAGGTGGGTGCCGGGCGCAACTTCCACTCCTCCATGCCCGACTCCATGGACTTGACCCAGTCCACGGCCGTCACCAACGAGATGAAAATCATCCGCACCAACGAGAAGGAGCAGCTCCAGGGCTTGAACGACCGCTTCGTCTCCTTCATCGAGAAGGTCCACAACCTGGAGCAGCAGAACAAGGTTCTGGATGCCGAGGTGACCCTGCTGCGCCAGCGCCACACAGAGCCCTCCCGCCTGCACAACCTGTACGAGCAGGAGATCCGCGAGCTGAGGGCGCGAGTCGAGGAGCTGGCGCACGAAAAGAGCCAGATGCACCTGGACTGCGTGCAGATGAACGAGACGCTGGACCGCGTGAAGGAGAAGCTGGACGAGGAGACGAGGCTCCGCGAGGAGGCGGAGGGCACCCTGAAGAGCTACCGCAAGGACGTGGATGACGCCACGATGTCCCGGCTCGAGCTGGAGAAGAAAGTCGAGTCACTGGTGGATGAGATCGCCTTCCTCAGGAAAGTGCACGAGGAGGAGCTGCAAGAGCTGCAGGCTTCCCTGCAAGCCACACAGGTGCCGACATCACATCACCCCTCATGACCCCCATCAGTTGTCACTTGTCACCCTCATCTCCCCTTCTCCCCACCTCCGAATATCACACCAAATATACACCATGGGAAAAGTTAGGCAATGTATGTTTTGATGATAACGTTTATGTGCCATGGTGATAACCAGTGCCAAATAACTAACAATGTTCATAGAGTGTTATCATATGGCTATCTTATCATTCACATTTACTGTGGATCCACATTCACTGAGTCAAAGTTAATTCACAGCACATGCGCTGTCCTTGGTGCTGAAGCCAGTGAACACTACGCACTGCGGTTCTGCGTAAAACAGCACCATGCAGTACTCCCTCCCCTCTCTGCCAATTCATCTGCCAATTCAAACCCAGCATTGAGATAGGATACTAACTATATAAACTATGGGGGTAGTTGTATAACTATAAAATAGAATTGAAATGGTTTAAATGATTACTGAAAATCGTGTCTGTGCATAGTCCGAAAGTGTTATACAGTCTAAAGCAAGAGTGTGGTTGCTAAAAAGAGAAGGAACGGGAGGGAGACAGAGAGAGGCAGGGAGAGAGTGAGAGGGCGGAAGAGAGGGGGAGGGAGAGAGGGGGAGGGAGAAAGAGGGGGAGCATTGGGTTGATAGGGGTGTTAGAGCTCCCACTGATGATGCAGAAAAATAGTTGCGCAATATCTAGGTGTGGTCGACCTAGTATGCAGGGGGGATGCGTGATAGGTCAGGGTCAACTCAGAACATTTAAAAAATAAAGATGTTGAATTTAAGTAGTCAATCTCATGATGATCAACTATCACTATCACACTTTGTAAACACATTTTACAGGATGATATCTATAGGTGAATTACTGCTGGCACTAAGTCTAGCTGTTGTTATTTACAAGATTGTCAACATGGTATTGATTCATGTTGTCCCACACAAGGTTAATTGCAATATAATCATTAATCAAGGTAACAATTAAACAACACTATTGTAGCTTACAGTGTTTTAGATGGCAGTGGCATTTTGGCTACATCATTGGATAAGGTGATAGTACTCTTAAATACTTTTCTTTAAATACAAAATAAGTCTGATGAACAATTTAATGTCAATTGATGCAACAGAGAATCTTCATTATCGGAAAGATAATTAATTGTTCGTTTTCTCCAGGGGCTTTTCTTTTGCTGGAGATATAATTGCCATGTAAGCGATTGAAAGCAACACCCACGATGGTGCACAGAGCCCTGACTCAGTGGTTGATACATCAGCCCTCAGCATTTTACCTCACTGGATAGATCACATTAGCCCAAGGCTCATAGCTCCCATGTGTCTACTATAAGCCCATGATGGTCTGTGTGGTTTGTCATAGATTTCAATAGTGATTATCAAACCTTCTACTATATTTGGTTAAAGAACAACAACAAAATTAGTAAAACTGGATGTTGCAACAATTTTGGTTTGGATTTATTATGATAGCCTACTTCACATTTACAGTAAATTAGAATTATTACGAAAATTAAAATAATATAATAACGAATACTAAAGCAAAACATTATCATTTTTGAATCTCCACTACACTACAAAGATGTATCTATTTAGCCAGTGAAGCATTCTCTTCACACCTGGTAATCATACCCAACCCTTTAACTAACCCCTCTGTCCCTACCTGGTCCCAGGTGTCAGTAGAGATGGACATGAGGGATGGTCAACCCGATCTGGCCGTGGCCCTGAAGGACATCCGTGCCCAGTACGAGGTCCTGTCAGCCAAGAACCAGAACCAGGCCGAGGAGTGGTACCGCTCTAAGTTCGCCAGTGTGAACGAGGTGGCCGCCCGCAACCAGGACCAGGTGAAGCATAGCAGGGAGGAGCTAAATGAGTACCGCAGGCAGGTGCAGGCCCGCACCCTGGAGATCGAGGCCCTCAGGGGCCACAATGAGGCCCTGGAGAGGCAGATGGCTGAGATGGAGGACCGGCAAAGCAATGAGATGGGAGAGATGCAGGTACGTGGAGTATGACAGGGTGGCTATTACTGTACACCACTGTAATTGCTACAGTACAGGGTTTACCCTGTGGATTCTATAGAATGATCCCCTCTTAAGTAACAGGTGTATATCAGTATGAAAATGTATGCACTCACTAACTGTAAGTCGCTCTGGATAAGAGCGTCTGCTAAATGACTAAAATGTAAATGTAATATCACAGATGGTATGTGTGATGGCATTGCAATTGCACTGTAGCACAACACATGTAAAAGGGTATTAGGAAATGTACATTGTGAGGTATTAGGAAATTAACATAGTGAGGCCTTTATCATTGGTAACATATCCTGATGTTAATCTGCCTGCAGGAGACCATCCAGCAGCTTGAGTCTGCCCTCCGCAGCACCAAGGGGGAGATGTCCCGTCACTTGCGTGAGTACCAGGACCTGTTGAATGTCAAGATGGCCCTGGACATTGAGATCGCTGCTTACAGGTCAGTCATCACCTGATCTGAGTCTAAGAGTTATGTCTGATAATGTTAAGTCAGCAGTCAGCATATAGTTGATCCAAACCTCAGTGCCTTTCCTGTATTATGAACACTTTTTTCACATTTTAATTCCAAGTCAGCAGAGTGACTGAACACATCCACGACTGCTTTGAAAAGTATGAACGGTCGGAATTTGATACATTTGTAAACTGACTCTCTCTTCCTCTGATTTAGTCAGTATTTTAGTCAGCTCAGCAATCAGCACACTGTTGATGCACCACAGTGTCTCTTTGAAAGATTTATGAGCACCCCCCCCACTTAAAAAAAAAAATGGAATACCTAGTGAGCACAGCAGTAGAATTTGATAAATGTGTGTAAACTGACTCTTTCTTCCTCTACCTCTCTATCCCTATCTCGCCATCTCCATCCCCCTCTTCAGGAAGCTGTTGGAAGGTGAAGAGTGCCGTCTGAGTACAGTGGGCGGAAATATCCTGCAGTCAGGCTACTCTGGCTTCTCCTATTCGTCCGGCCGCTCCTACGCCCTGGGTTCCTACAGGATGAGGGGAGCCAAGCCTGAGGAACCAGAGGAGGAGGAGGATGAGGAAGAGAAGGAGGAAGAGGAGAACAAGGAGGAAGGAGAGGAGGGAGGGGATGGAGAGGAGAATGGAGATGGAGATGAGGAGGAAGATGAGGAAAATGAGGATGAAGTTCAGAAGAAGAAGGAAGAGAAGGAGGGTGCTCCCAGCAAAAGCACCAAAAGCTAAACTGCTTGTGTCATCGATCATCAATGCCTTTCGCCCTACTGCAGTCCACTCATTCACTCAAATGGATCCCTTCCCTGTCACCTCATCTCTGTTTCACAAGGACACACACGCACACACACTTACCGTACTCATGCCAAATGCCTCACACAGACATACCTTCTCCTCTCGTTCTCTGGGTATCAATAATCAGCTGTGTGGTGGAAAACAGAAAGACCGACAACGCAGAGAGGTGTATTACCCTACCAGAAGATAGACCTGTAGCTGCATTTCCTTTATACGGGGCTCAGGATCCTATGTCACGGTACTCCATAGATGATGGTTACCACAGGGAGCAGAGAGAAGGTGCTCAACATGACAGTATTAAGCCAGTCAGTCAGTAAGAGAATGCCTTAAAGCAAGTATGATGTCAGATTAAGAGGTCAGGGATGATATCGCCCAGTAAGGTCCCGTCTTTATGTGCTATTAATGATATGAGATGTGGTTAAGAGAAATACAATTGTAATCTTGAAGGTAATAATAGGATCCTGGTAGTAGCACACATACTCGGCCTACTATATGCACAGAGGTCTGGAGCATTGAACTTTACCAACTTTTACCAGTCCAACTTTTAAGGTGCATTTAGAATAAATACATTAAAAAAAGTTGGAAACATCTAGGGAATTTCATGCTCTTTAAACCTTTTCATGAATGTTAGCGTATAATATTGGGGACAAAGAAATGCAGATCATTCCCGTGGGTGCAATAACGTATTCTGAGCTGAAGATGCAAACTGGCACACTGAATGCTCCTCACTCCTCTCTTTTTCATTCACAGGAGACAGATATAGAATGTTCTGTCCATTGACCCACTTTCTTTTCCATCACTTTTAATCACCAGAAAAGTAAACATTTCACCACTCACCTTCCCCCCTCTCTCGGTCACTGTGAATGTCATAGCACGGCAAAATGACAACATGGATTCTAGAAAAAAGTACATGAAATCATAGCGTTTATTTGGGATGGTTCTATTTTCAAAGGTAGGGGATAAATGCATTGTGCAGCACCTCTTCTGTGTTCAGAAGGGGACCTTTCAGGAATGAAACATTTAGAGTTTTAAAATGCTGCTATTTATCACACTATACCCTTATATTTGATTTAGAAATACCCCCTCTTGATTGATTCATTTGTCAATGAATGGATATGCCCTCAAAGTAATATAACTCAATCCAAACCTGAGGTAAATGTCTCTCCTAGTCCCTTCCTTTCCCCAGAGCAGTCTGTCTTGTTTGTTAACTATCTGCAGTCTTTTAGTGCTCTGTACCCTACGACCTTCTGGCTGGTGGTTTGAGTGGTAGAGTGTGTGTTGTTAAGTCCCAAATGGTACCCTTTCCCTATATTCTGCACTACTTTTGATCAGAGCCCATCGGGCGCTGGTCAAAAGTAGTGTACTATATAGGGAATAGGGTGCCATTTGAGATGCAGCCTGTGTTTGCTTTTTAGCAGTGTGCTCTGCTCCAGACAGTGAAGAGGCATGTGGCTGCTGTGAAGGACAGCTGGCTGTAACAATGAGTGAGAGACAGCCCTCCACTCTGACTGCAGCACAGGCGGCCGGCCGGTGGCACCTTCATTGGGGAGTACGGTCTCATAGTAATGGCTGGAATGGAATAAATGGAATGGTATCAAACACACCAAACACATGGTTTCCATGTGGTTGATACCATTCCATTCACTCCATTCCAGTCATTATGAGCCATCCTCCCCTAAGCAGCCTCCTGTGGACTGCAGGACTAGGTGACAGCCGGTGCAGATGCCACTGGGGTCATGGGTGGTCACATGGTGCTGCGCCACAGATAAGGGCTATTATCACCACTACCACCACCACCACTGCAGTCTGAGATGGACAGCAACAGTATGTACACAGGATACCCTAGGCAGACATATCCTAGCTGCAGGAGAGGGCCCATAATAGCATACTGTAAGTTATATGGCTGGCTACTTTCCATCATGGTGCTAAGCTATCGATATCAGGACTATCTGTGGGTCAGGATACAGTGAGTGACTGCATGGATATGTAAGGCTTAAAGAATGAGTGTAAATGTTAAAGAAGGAGACATTTATGATTTACAGTGATAAAAGGAATAGTGTTGCAGGAAGTGTGTTTAGGGAAAGAATATTACATGGAAAACCCCAAATGGACAAAGAGCACAGGGGATTTTTCCAATTTGGCCAATGTACTCTAGAATCCTATACTGCAGTAAAATGACCTGTCCTCGCCAACGTTTTTGTAAACTTACCATGGGCAAATGTCTAGCTTGACAGAATGTAAAATGTTTTTTTTTTTAGACTGGCACACACTGTGGAAGGCCTTATCCTTAACCGTTGTAGATTTGACTCCTTTTGCTTTTCCTTGAGAAATGAATCAATCGACAAGCATTGACAGCATGGCCTGATTCTTGGGAGCTTGAAAACTGGGGATGGGATAGATTTTGCTTGTTGAGTGTAAAAAAAGATAATTGCCTTAACCATGATCAAAACAATAAAACAACCTTTTCACATGTTTCTGAGGTGGTTCAGGAGCGTTGACACTTTACAGACCATTCATTCTGCTATACTACTGTGACTGTATGTGCTGCTATCTCATGCAGTGATCTTCCTCCCAAAGCCAAATAAAGCAATTTATTAACCAAACACTCACAACCATCGTCAATGTCTTCAATTATTATGATAACGTCAAAACCATACTACATAAGCTACAGTACCCCTGCACATTGTACATTTGGTACTGGAACTGTATATAGAAGGCTTACTTACTTTATCATGTTCTTCTTATTTTTATATTTTGTGTATTTTTGTTCTACCTTGTTATTTTTTGTATTACGTTGTTTTTGATTACTGCATTGTTGGGTTTAGAACTTGCAAGAAAGGCATTTCACTGTACTTGTGTACACTCTTAGAAAAAAGGGTTCCAAAAAGGTTATTTGGCTGTCCCCATTGGAGGACCCTTTTTGGTTCTATGTGGCAACCCTTTCTGGTTCAAGGTAGAACCGTTTTTGGTTCCAGGTAGAACCCTCTGTAGAAAGGGTTCTACATGGACCCAAAAGGGTTCTACCTGCAACCAAAAAGGGTTGTTCAAAGGGTTATCCTATGGGGACAGCCGAAGAACCCTTTAAGGTTCTAGATAGCACCTTTTTTTCTAAGAGTGTATGTGACATTAAAACTTGAAACTTGAAACGTTTTCTAACTGGGCACAGCCAGGTTAGAGCAAGAAGGGCAAACCGAAAAACAATGCTATAATATTTGTAGCATTTTGCATTGAAAATGCATACAGTACACAAGACAAATGTTAAAGCTAGAATCCTTAATTGAAACAATAACAAAGCAGGAACCCCACCTCAGTTTTGGTAAAAAAGCTGAGGGATGGACCTGGAGCAAACTTCTCTTAAATTCATAGACAGAGCTATAGATGCAAGGACTGACCATCCATGATATCAGAATTATAGTTTTAGCCATGTTTTGAGGCTATACAGTGTTGGATTACATTTAGATTGTTTTAAAAAACATTGGAGTAAAATATATATATATATTTTGGGTTCTGAACTAAGCTCATGAGGCATTTATAAGTTATATTCTTCAAGAATAGATGGGTATACAGTGGGGAGAACAAGTATTTGATACACTGCAGATTTTTCGCTGGTTTTCCCACTTACAAAGCATGTAGAGGTCTGTAATTTTTATCATAGGTACACTTCAAATGTGAGAGACGGAATCTAAAACAAAAATCCAGAAAATCACATTGTATGATTTTTAAGTAATTAATTTGCATTTTATTGCATGACATAAGTATTTGATACATCAGAAAAGCAGAACTTAATATTTGGTACAGAAACCTTTGTTTGCAATTACAGAGATCATACGTTTCCTGTAGGTCTTGACCAGGTTTGCACACACTGCAGCAGGGATTTTGGCCCACTCCTCCATACAGACCTTCTCCAGATCCTTCAGGTTTCGGGGCTGTCGCTGGGCAATACGGACTTTCAGCTCCCTCCAAAGATTTTCTATTGGGTTCAGGTCTGGAGACTGGCTAGGCCACTCCAGGACCTTGAGATGCTTCTTACGGAGCCACTCCTTAGTTGCCCTGGCTGTGTGTTTCGGGTCGTTGTCATGCTGGAAGACCCAGCCACGACCCATCTTCAATGCTCTTACTGAGGGAAGGAGGTTGTTGGCCAAGATCTCGCGATACATGACCCCATCCACCCTCCCCTCAATACGGTGCAGTCGTCCTGTCGCCTTTGCAGAAAAGCATCCCCAAAGAATGATGTTTCCACCTCCATGCTTCACGGTTGGCATGGTGTTCTTGGGGTTGTACTCATCCTTCTTCTTCCTCCAAACACGGCGAGTGGAGTTTAGACCAAAAAGCTCTATTTATGTCTCATCAGACCACATGACCTTCTCCCATTCCTCCTCTGGATCATCCAGATGGTCATTGGCAAACTTCAAACGGGCCTGGACATGCGCTGGCATGAGCAGGGGGACCTTGTGTGCGCTGCAGGATTTTAATCCATGACGGCGTAGTGTGTTACTAATGGTTTTCTTTGAGACTGTGGTCCCAGCTCTCTTCAGGTCATTGACCAGGTCCTGTCGTGTAGTTCTGGGCTGATCCCTCACCTTCCTCATGATCATTGATGCCCCACGAGGTGAGATCTTGCATGGAGCCCCAGACCGAGGGTGATTGACCGTCATCTTGAACTTCTTCCATTTTCTAATAATTGCGCCAACAGTTGTTGCCTTCTCACCAAGCTGCTTGCCTATTGTCCTGTAGCCCATCCCAGCCTTGTGCAGGTCTACAATTTTATCCCTGATGTCCTTACACAGCTCTCTGGTCTTGGCCATTGTGGAGAGGTTGGAGTCTGTTTGATTGAGTGTGTGGACAGGTGTCTTTTATACAGGTAACAAGTTCAAACAGGTGCAGTTAATACAGGTAATGAGCGGAGAACAGGAGGGCTTCTTAAAGAAAAACTA